CACTTTGCCCACATCATCAAATTTTTCGTCACAGATGCAGTTATTGACAAATGTTTTGCGGCAGAATATTCCTTAGGTGTCCCCCCAAAAAGCAGAAGCAGGCCCTCCTTCACTGCCCCCACCGTCTTCAGAATATGACGTCATCTGCCGTCACCGTCGAGCTCAACGAGGCTTACCGTAATCTCCGACCTGAAGCTGCTACATAATTTCTTCAACCGATTAACTGGTGAATAGCTTCTAAGAGACACTAGCTGTGACTGTGCAAGACCGCTTTTGACCAGCGTTCAGGGACGTCGTAATGGTCTATGGTACCTCGACGACCTCGTTGAGCTCGTACCGTGAACCATGTTTCCGTGGGAAAATCTTCTGATGTCGTCGTGTAGAAGGCTGTCATGTAAACTTTTTGATAGACAGAATGTGCTTTTTAAATACAGTTGAGCTCATTTGGTTTCGGTTCTAGAACTTGTATTTAAATCCGTTTTGAATGTGGAGGGAAGTGACTCGTTTTTTGCTCCCCCCCCCTCTCATACAAATCGTGCTGCAGACGTGTGAGTTACTACAAGGGAAGGATGGTAGGTCGAAGTGGCCGTTCGAAATGAAATGTATACCTCCTGATGCGTCTCCAGACGCTGATTCCAAATCTGCCTTCCAAATCTGCTAAACGACTCTCCGAACGGAGTTATGAAGCGTAATAGCTCAGTGGTGATGGTCCGGGGTGGCAGGTAAAAGCTCGTAGGATCGGTTCCTTTGCAAATTGGTTGCTTTGCTTTTGTCTCTAGAAGTGTTGCGGACAAAAGCAAAGCAACAAACTTGCAAAGGAACCGATCCTACGAGCTTTTACCTGCCACCCCGGACCATCACCACTGAGCTATTACGCTTCATAACTCCGTTCGGAGAGTCGTTTAGCAGATTTGGAAGGCAGATTTGGAATCAGCGTCTGGAGACGCATCATTTTATACGGCCACATTTCGACCTACCATCCTTTCCTTGGTCAAGTGAGCAGCATTGAGGAGCCGCTTTGCACTTTTCTCTTACTTCCAAAGGCAAACCTCAGGATTATGCTTGTGTGTAAGAGCGCTTCATAACGAAGGTGGCGATGCGGGAGAATGAAAAAAGGAACAAGAGAGGCCATCGGAAACATTGAAATTGAGGAACTAAGCCTTCTGCAAGATTTGTTACGAGGGAGGTGCAAAGAGAGTACAGAAGACATAAAACGCAAGAAAGCAGCCGTCTCCAACTGAGCACAGAGAAGCGCCGTTGCGACCGCTGAAAAATACCGTCATGCCGATTAAATTGGCGCATATGACAAACTACAGGCTCTTGCCGCACTCTTTCTATCGGTGTCAATGGCGCATTGATGACCTTCTGTAACATTCCCATTCTACCTAACGAATAAATTCATCCTGTAGTCTTACGCTGATAACAGGCAGGCCTGCCTGCTTTCAAACTGACCCGTACATATGTCTGCCTCTGTGCGGCCAACATCTCAGGTAAGAGAGGCGCAATACCAAATCTGAACACATGTACTAGTTGACCAATTTGGAACAAATAGCAAAACGGATATCAGCTATAAATAGGGGTAAAAATAGTAATATCGAGATCATTTGCAGTGCTCTAATTGTGATGTGCGGGACAAAAATTGTTTGCGCTCTGGTTCGAGAAATGTTAGAAATAAGAATCGAAAGGAAGCTGGGGTTAAGACCGCATTCCCATAAGAACACTCACAATTCCCTTTCGATTGGCTAGCGGTCAGATTTATTTAAAGACACGATTTGAGTCGAATGAATGTCAGCGCGGCACAATTTTGCTTCCTTTTCAAAGTCAGGAAAACACTTAAGGACGGAAGGAAGTCGGGAAGACTTTTTATTTTTTTTTAAAGACGAAAGTCGTAATTGATATCATTAGAAGGATCACAGTCGAAAGAGATGGGGTGTGTGGGTACTTAGGACAGAACGCGACTTTTTCGCTCTTCGCAACGCGACATCGCGCGGCAGGCTGGCGCACCCGCAGCGAAAACAACTACGGTATAGGAGAACGCGCGATTGGAGCACGATATTTGTGTCGGCTTTGATTGCGACAAGGAGTTTGAAGCTTAATAGCCATGGATTTGATAATGAACGAGGAAATGGTAACCAGAAGTGGACCGCTAACTAGCAGTGAAGAGGGAGGTAGGTTATTTTTGCAGAGATGGATGGTAGAGCTTCTGGAGAATGGTTGATGGACGTTTGATGAGACGACTGTAAACTTCTGCATAGGGGTTATTTGGGGCCCTGATCATGAATATGACACTCATTTTTCACATTCGTGCTGTTTAACGCATACTTTCTGCTTTCTAAGCTTTCTCACCTACAGCGCCTACGACTAAGCTTAGGGGAGGGGAGTGAAACTCCGGAGTGGGTAAACCACGCACCGTGTGGCAAAAGTTGGAGTGTGTCAGACCACAGGGGAATGGCCTACCCACTTTGGAGCCCTACACTACTCAAAGGCTTAGTCCTATTGCGATCTAATTAGTGCGAGGGCGCAGACGAGCAGGAAGCAGGCGCCGAATAGCGCTAACAACAAATCAGGACCCCGAATAACCCCTATACAGAAGTTTACAGCGAATTTAGTGGGAATCAGTTGTGGCGCCACCCGGCCCCAAATGGCGCCAGCGTCAAAAATGAGTATCATATCCGTAATGAGGACAGAAGCGTTCCGTAAAAGATGTTATACCCTTATGCAGATGTCTATACAACAATATGAACCCACAAAATGCAAGCACAAGCGACACTATTAAACCCTCGTTCACCGATAATTCGTAAAACACCATTTGTGTGGCATCGCCCGGAATCGTGTAAGTCACAAAACGTTTTCAATAATGAGACAGAATTAGTGATTCACCGCATTTATCAATACAATGGGTGTGAGCGCGGGCAAGTAAGGAATCAGAAACTTACAAATTCACGCATGCAAAAAAGCTGCTCTCCAATCGCGCGTTCTTCCATACCGTAGTTGTTT